AATGGTTTACTCAACTTGCTCTATGAATCCAGTTGAGAATGAGGCTGTGGTTGCTGAGGTAACATGTTGATGTTATTAAAAGGCTTGTTATAGCTACAACTATGAAAATAGGAATGATTTTAATCTTGTTCTTTTCAGTATTAATAAAAATTCAAATTTTATATTTTATATTTTTCAGCTTAATGCCACATTGTTTGACATTGGCACCGAAATTCTGCTATTCTCAGTTTATTTTATTTTATTTTATTTTATTTTTTAAACATTAAATCTTATTATGTTTGTGCTTGGATGTTTTTCTGATGATCCGCATGGCACAATGATATCTACTTATCTTTTAATTTTTTTAACTTGTTTTTCCTTCCTCTTCTATTTTCTTTCTTTCTACGGCTTGGGATGTTTCATTTTCTTCAGATTCTGCGGAGGTGCAGGGGGTCTGTCGAACTTCTTGATGTCTCCAGTGAGCTTCCTCAGCTTGTTTGCAGACCAGGTCTTAAGAAATGGAAGGTATTTTCATTTTTCAAATACATATTTGAATTAATATAGATATATTGTCTCTCCAGTGTTTATAATTTTGGCAACTTTACAACTTGTTTTACATTCTCTTACTTCAACTATTACATTTTGTAGGTCAAAAGCTAGGATTGCGGCTCCCGTTACTTTTTTTGTTGCCCTTATATTTTTTGTATAGCTCATGATCAAGAAGTTGCATATATGGAAAAGAGAGATTAAAACAGAGCAAGAAGATATGAAGAATTTTTGTTTTATTTTGGTTAAGTAAAGATATAAGGTGTGGATTATGTACATCTTTGAAATTCGTATATATTTTTGTATAAAACCATGATTTGGAATTGGTTATATATATATATATAAATTATTGGCCAGTTGTATATATATTTATTTATAGGGTTTGCTTCTAGGTCCTTGCAAGGCTAGTAGTAGGGCAAAAAAAAAAAACAAGCCTCATAGGGGCTGTACACTATTTTGTTTAAAAAAAAAATTATAGAACACTTTTTGCCACCGTTTTGCACTATGGTAAAAAAAACACTTTCTATCACGGTTCTGTACTCTGACAAAAAGTCTATTTTTTATTACGGTTCTACGCCGTGTTAAAAAGTCTCTACTTATTACCACGGCTGTTTTTACCATGATTCAAAACCGTGGTAGAAAGCGTTTTCTTTCATGATAAAAAGTCATTTTTCTTGTAGTGAATATATTTATATCTCAAACCCGTCCAACCCGCCCGAGGTACAGCTCTAGTTGAAGGTTTCCATCACACAAGCTCTAAGCTAACAGCACAGTCAGGGACGGAGCCAGCTTGGGGGCGGACCTCACCCTTTGTATATATATGGTTTTAATTTTTTTTTTATTTATATATTATGCCCTCTAAAATCATTAGTTTCCAAATTTTTAAAAACTTTATATATATTTTATCTTTTACCCTTTAAATTTCTTTAATAACCTTTTTAAAAAGGTTAAATTTTCCTTATTTAATTATGCTTTAATTTGCTTTTTTTTTTTTAAATTCAATTTTCTTTTCCTTTAAATTTTTTTTCACTATGTCTCTCCTGACTTCAAATCCCGGCTCCGTTCCGCCGACAGGGAGATCACTAAAATTTCAATATGGGCTACCTTTTGCTTGTATGGGCCACAACAGCCTGGATCTGTTCAATTTTGTTGATTGGGCTCATGACATCTTGTACATAATAACACGTATACATACAGATACAGTTTGCTTAATCAAATATCCTACGTTGATGGATAGAAAGATATACGGAAACTCATATATCCATTTGTTGGTACGAAGACCTCTCAGTTTGAGAGATGGAAGAGACTATCACACCATTGACCTACAGCCCTTATAGAGCAAGGACGGAGCCAATGTATGCTCAAGGCACATGCCTCCTAGTCTAGCCCGCCCACTATAATACATATGGTGATATTATTATTTTTTACATATATATATATGAAATTTTTTATATAATGTCTTCCTAAAATTATTAGTTTCTAAATTAACTCTTAATTTTCTCGTTCTCTTTTTTTTTTTTCTCTTTAGATTTCTAGACAAAAGCCCAAATGGTAGTTTCATCGTTCGAATCTGTTGCCAGCCCAAATGGGACAATGAACAAAAAGCCAACAATGAGTTATAATAGAACAAAGCTAAAAGTCTAAACCAGTTTGGCACTAGCCCAATCCTAACTGAGAGAGAGACCAGACAACATAAGATAATAGTCATTGCAGATGTTGATACTTTTTACATGCTTTAAGGGCCCTTTTTTCTTTTTCTTTTCTTTTTTTTTTAAGGGCCCTTTGTTTCATGTTTTTGTTTATGTGTTTTTTGTTTTTACTAGTGTATTATAGCGAAATAAAATCATGAAGGATGTGTTTGATAATATTTGTAGTCATTAGAATAGTATTGAAATGCTTTCAAAATTGAGGTTAAAATCAAAATCATCACTTTTGTTTTCTTTTACACCGTAACAGAGCACTGTTCAAAAAATAAAATAAATTTTTTTTTCTAAAATAATATTTTTAACTAGTCATTTAAAATGTCAAACTTGTAAAACTTTTTACTAAATATACTTTCATATTTTTATATCTAAAAATCTTGTAATAAACTTGCGTTATCAAAATTTTAAAATAATATTGAACATATTTTAAAAAATATTATTTTTACTTCAAATTAAAAAAAAAATACAAAACAATTGTGATTCCAAAACAAACTCCAAAGCTGAAACTTTTCTTATACCCAATATGGGTCATATCAGTCTTACGAAGATGCACATTTATCACAATCTTTCTACTCTATTACTTAAGACATAAATTGACATAGAGAGCAGCATCTCATCGTTTCTTGATTTGTCATTACCACACTTTTCTAAAAGGTTGAAGGTTCCGGAATAGTGGAGAAAATCTTATTCAAAAACATACGAGGTGCTTCAATGGAAGAGAGAAACATATTATGGATATGACCACTAGCAGACATTTTTTTTTGTAACCATTTGCACTTTTTTCTTTTTACTCACTTTGACATTATAATTTGTTTGCTTCTCTCTCTAGATATGAGATTATATATAATCAATTACTGTATTATGTTAGTATATTAAATACTCTTCAACAATTTTACTTATGAAGATGTAAGAAATTTTTTCTCTCTAAATTGACAGAGTTTTTCTTACACTCCAAAAATTTCAATCCCTTTTTTCTTTCATTTTCATATATTTATAACTTGTTTACAATGTTTTAGAAGTTCCCTAACTATCTTTCTTTATTGGGCTCATCATTGAGGCTTTTGCATTCATGAATCTATTTGTCTTTCAGGCCTTCAGCTTTACCCTTCGGCGTTGAGCTTGTCCCACGGCAACTTGATTTGGGTTCAGACCATTTTTCTGGCCCATTCTTTATCATGGAGTTAGATTCTGTCCATGCCGCTTTTAGTATCCTTAACTTAAAAAAAAAAGAAAAAAGAAAATCATAAACATCGACATTTTAATGCCTTTGCTCTTGTTCTACGTGAGGCAGTGAGATCAATAACAGAACCAGAAAAAAAAAAAGTAAAAAAATCATGTTTAAGAATATAAACTAAATACTAGTTATTATAAAATCTATACAATTGTACCAAATTAACATTAATATTCTTGATCAATTACAAAAGTAATTATATATATATATATAAGTATAAATATTTTTTTATTAAGATTTGAATTCTTGATCTTTATCTATCCAAAGCGAGAAAGTATCACTTCACCGTAAAAGGGTAAAAAAACGAAAAGAAAAAAAATCCCAATTAAAAGAAAAATGGGATAAAAAAAAAGCCCAAAACCCCTATATATATATATGTTTGTGTGTATCCAGACTCCCTCGCTCTGCATACTCCGGTTAGAGTGATACCGGAAAGTAACCGTGCGCTGGACGCCGTGTTTGAATGATCACGAAAATTTCTTTGAATTCACAAGCCCTAGACTCGTTACGTATCGAAATCAAACATCAATTTATTCACTAATTCGTCCTTCCAAACCCATTTTAAGCCCTTGACTAACATCCCATCGCTCACGTACAGATTCGACTGCGAAGGAGTGCTTAAAAACCTCTCGAAACCCTCGCTCACGAAAACCTAGAAAGCAGCAGATTCAAAATCGAGGTTCTTCTCTTTCCTTTTCAGCAACACAGCAAAACTAGGGTTTACTCGACTCGACCGCGCCATGAGTCCCATCCAGAATTTCGAGCAACACTCTCGCCGTCTCATCGAACCCGATCTCCGTACTCCTCTATCTTTATTTGCATACACATATATTTATACATGTTTGTTATGTGTTCTGTGTATTTGAATTCATTGTGTGGTTTTTGTCTTGAAACAGCGCCCGATACACCACCCGAGACAGCAAGTGAGACAGCGATTCGTATGAGGCTTCAAATGGCGATGGAGGTACGGGATAGTCTAGAGATAACTCACACAGGCGAGTACTTGAATTTCTTGAAATGCTATTTCCGGGCGTTCTCGGCAATTTTATATCACATTACAAAGCCTCAATTTGTCGATAATCCTGAGCACAAGCTCCGGAACATCATCATCGAGATTCTAAATCGACTACCACACAGTGAGGTTCTTCGCCCCTTCGTTCAGGAACTCTTGAAGGTTGCAATGCATGTTCTCACCACCGATAATGAAGAGAATGGTTTAATTTGTATTCGTATCATATTCGACCTCCTTAGGAACTTCAGGCCGACCTTAGAGAACGAAGTTCAGCCTTTTCTTGACTTCGTTTGTAAAATTTACCAGAATTTCAGACAGACTGTCACTCATTTCTTTGAAAATGGGGCAGCAGTGCCGCCACCACCGTCCCCACCAGTGTCCATGCCGGCACAATCATCATCATCATCGTTGTCGTTGACGTCATCATTGACTTCTCTGGGCGGAGAAGATGTTAAGCCCATGGACGTGTCGGACCAAATGGGACCTCCTAATGGATATGTTGGAGTTGGGCAGCTTAATCCCAGTACACGTTCATTCAAGATTGTTACGGAAAGTCCATTGGTGGTCATGTTTCTGTTTCAGTTGTATAGCCGGCTTGTTCAAACCAACATTCCTCATTTGCTGCCGTTGATGGTCGCCGCTATATCTGTTCCGGGTCCAGAGAGGGTTCCACCCCATTTGAAGACTCACTTCATTGAGTTAAAGGGCGCGCAGGTTAAGGTGAGTCTTCCTTGTTCTCATAGTTTCCTGAAACTATTATCTGGATTCTGGAAGATAATGAAAAGTTTAGTTCAAGTATGTGTACTGCATGGTGTCAGGTTACTACGGCAATTGATGGGTCTTTTAACTTGCTTACATATTCTAAAGCTATTTATGTTTTGTTGGACTTGAAGCTATTTTGAAGTGTTATTTTCTCATTCTTTGCTAATCAGAAGCATTGGATTCTTCTTCTTATTTATTTATTTAATTATTCTCTATCGTCACTCACTTTTTTCTCTCTGGATGGATTTCTGCCGGCTGACTTTACAGCAAATTCTTTTACTAATTTTACTTATTTTTATTTAGGATAGGATATCAAGAATTAATAGAGGGAAGAAAGTTTTAGTATGTCAGATACCTATAAAAAGAGGATTTTGGATAATTCCATATATCAAGAATTTACAGAGAAGCAAGTTTTAGTGCATCACTTGCCTTTAAAAAGAAGATTTTGGATAATTCCACTGATCACCCCTGAACTTCATCGGTTGTGTTTTTTGTTTTTTTAAAAGAAGTGTAGGGAAATGGAAGGATTTGGAGGGAGAAGAAGGGATTTGGTTTCCCCTTGAATAGTAAATTTCTTATCTCTTAAAAGTGAGGAAATGGAGGGAAAGGATAGAGAGCTAGTAACTACCTGTTTTACCCCTATTTGTTATAACCAAGGAGCTATCTTTTTGCCATTGCCACTCGCAAAATAACATAACATTGTGTTTCTTCTCCCTCCACTATTTTTATCAAACATGATGAAGGATTATTAGTATCCCTTCCTTTCTTTTCGTTTTAAGTTATCCAAACATGAACAAAGGTTAACATTGTTCTCTCCATTATTTTCTTTGCTTCCGTATCTAATGTTATCCTCTCTTTTCTTTTGCCTCCTAGTTATCCAAATGAAGACCTAGTAAAAAGGACAAATAACAAATTGTGGAGAGAAAGATAAACAACTCCAGAGATGAAACTTTTCTAGAGAGGAAAGAGGGCATGGCTATGTAGATTGGTTTAATTTGTTTTGTATGTTTGGTCTGCAGTGTTGTTGTGCAAACAAGTGATATGATGGTATTGGTTTGCGAGGAGGTGAGGTGACAATAGTGGTGGTGAAGTGGTGATATCAGTGGTTGAGTTTTAAAGATAGTGAGAAGGAAATATTGAGCAAAGTGGTTATGGAGGAAATATGGTTAATGGTGATTGTGGTGGAGTTGTTGTTGAAGTTATAGGGTTAGAGAAAAAATTACAGTAAGAGAGAAAAAGGTTGGTCTATTAAATGGATTTTACCCATTTTAGTTTTATTAACTCATGGGTTTTACCATTTCTTGGGTTAATTTTATTTTACCTAATTAGGAATTATTAACATTTCACCGAGCAATATGTTTAACTTGTATCCGAAAATAGTCAAAATCGACTGACAGCACGAGAGGTCTGCTTATTTTAAAAGCAGGGGGTGACTATGTGGAATATTACAAAATATCGGGAGGTTAGTGGATTATCACAGAAGATTTAGTGCATGACCACCAGTTAGCTTGAATGGTATTTCCTGCCACCTCAAAGGGAGAGTATGCAGAATTCAACTTTCGGTTGGGATATGAGTGCATGTATTACATTCTTAAAATGATTTAGTACTTCATTGGTAAATTTTGGGTTGATCTTTGATTTTTTTCTAATGCATGGACACCTTGGATTTTACAGGAAGTATTTCTTATGCGAGACATCTATCATGGAAGCAATATATACATATTTTCAAAAAAAATTTAATTCGAATTAGATTAATAAAGTAGTAACATTTGAGAAACAGTAAACTGAAACATTATGGGGTTGTTGGTGTAACTTATAGGTTTGAATATGGGAGCCTAATCTAATTTTTCCTTTACGTTTTAAAATCAGTTGTTAACCTATGACTCAACTGAAAACTGATTCAATAGTAATGAAGGCAACTTAGAGTGCTAAAATTGTAAACAATGGAGACATAGTAATTTAGAACTGTTTATAAAACTACAGGTTTATTGGTATGTGAATCTGATCAAACTTAAACTAAACACTTTTGACTTGTGAGTATAATTAAAGATATATATATATATAGATTTCACATGTCTATTTAGCTGAGTTAATTGGGTATTTACCACTAAGTTATATAACTATTTGACAATCAAAACGACTCATTTATTGCGAAGTCAACTTAAATGATTAGGCCAACTTTGACATTGTAAAAGTTACATTGAATAAATAATTTAAGGACACAGTAAATAGGAAATAATCAATAAGTAATTGGACTGGTTTGTAGTTGTTTGCATTTGTGGTAGTTTTTATCTCGAATTCTTACTGGTTATACTTGTCTGGTTGGATTGATTGAGAAACCTGGCCAAGGTTCCAACATAATATTATTAGGTCTGTTATTTGGGCAGGTTTAAATTTTTATACATAATGGGATGTCTGCTGCGCTTCATGTTAGATTTTTTTGATTAATCATTTTCTTAGTATGTTTTCCAAAGCCAATGCTAATCTTCATCTACTATTGATCCTCCTCCCACACTCCAAACTCACCCTGAAGAGTAGAAGGCTAGAATTTAACTTTTTTTCTCTGGCAACATTTTTTTTTCCTTCTCATTTTTTCTCGAAGATTTTCTCAGAGTCCTAAAGGAGATGGAAAACATGGAAATCCAGCCCCCCCCTCCTGGCGGACAAAAAAAATACAATGTTTCTAGGGTTTCTTTTTTTTAATTACAAAAAAATTTGGTACCCTCACAAAGCCCAGATGTGGGTCTTCAGTTGCTGATGAGATGCCATGGATCTCCTTCAAAAGATTATGACATATCCATGGACCGTATTTATGACTGAATTTTGTTTATACAAAATGCTTCTATTCTGAGCGTCTCCAACACCGAAAGCAATATATGATGTGGTCTGTGGAAACAATGTTCAAGGAAGTAATATTATAATGGTTTAATTGAAGTGGAATTATGGAAAAAAAAAAAAAAAAAAAATTGAAGTGGAAAACCCTGGTCATTTAGCATCAATGACTAGTTTGTTAATTGAATTTTTAGGTGGTCTTTATAGTTATGGGCGATGGATTGGTGGACAACCTGTGAAGTGTTAGCCAGAATAAATTAGTATTCAAGAAGACGTGAATGCTGACTGCATTCAAGTTAAAATAGTTTCCTATCACTTCTATCTGGATGTTGTATATCTTTGCTTGAAAAAGTGTTGACAAAAAATAAATATGTTTGAATTTATTTTTTAATTCAGTTCTTGCAGGTACGTCTTTTTAATTTACATGATTGGGAACAATTTAGTGTCCTTCGATTACCCTTAAATTTTTATTTGATAAGCGTCCTTTAGTTTCCCTTATTAAAAATGTTTGGGATATTCTCGATGAAAAACTCATGCACACTTCATTAAGTGAACTGTTAAGAAAGAAACCATAAACTGTGGGAACACTTAATAGCAAAGGAACAAGATGTAGAGGGAGTGGAAACGGAAAAATGTAGGAGATGAAGAGAGACGGAAAACAAAAGAGACTCATAAAAGAAGGGGTCACTAAGATTATTCACACTGGGGCAATTAAATGGTTTGCTGGTGGATCAATATAGTGGTTAATGGACATAATCTAATAGGCGGTCTGCTCCCACCAAAATAAGCATATAAGATTGCCTGAACCAGAAAAGTTTCACTTCATTTACATGTATTTGGCCCCTTTTCTTCCAAAGGATTGTCAATTTACTGCTACTGATGTACTTTTTCCCTTGCTGCAGACAGTTTCGTTTTTAACTTACCTGCTGAAGAGTTTTGCTGATTATATTAGACCACATGAAGAAAGCATTTGTAAAAGCATTGTCAACCTACTCGTCACCTGTTCTGATTCTGTTTCTATTCGAAAGGTGAAAGATTTTCCTTCAATTTAAATAGTTTTTAATAGTTTTTCCCTCTCTTTGTTTAATATTAATTGATGGATGTACTTGTTAAATTCAGGAATTGTTGGTAGCGTTAAAACATGTGCTCGGGACAGATTTTAAGAGAGGTTTATTTCCTTTAATTGACACACTGTTGGAAGAGAGGTAATATTTTTGACTAATAAATTTGTGTATTTACATTATCAAGTCTGTTCTTTTGTTTCGTTTTTTATTTATTTATTTTTCAGTGGGTGATATTTTCATACTGGTTGATGGCAGAATTAAGCTTTCACTGCAATTCTTGTTTCTGTTGATGTGTATTATTTCTGGGTTAGCTGTGTTTCAACTATTTCATTCACTCTTCCATCTTTTGACAATGCTAAGATATAATAATCTCACCAGTGTCTTTCTTTTCAGATCTTTTTAGTACAATTACCATATTCTGGCAGTCTTGTTAGTTTTTGATGTGCTTTTCAGCCGACTTTTCTGTGTGTACTGCTGTGCTGACTTTCAAACCAAAATTTATTATTATTATTTTTTTTCATAAGTTGCAAATGAAACTTTCAGCAATTTTCGATCCTAGGTTTTCCGGGATACATTTAATGTATTGCAGGACATCTATTGAAATGGTGGATGTCATGTTGATCCTTTTTTCTGAATGCATTATTTTTATCTTTGTCAATTTATTTTCTCTATCTTTTTTCTTTTTTTTTTTTTGTTTTGGTTGTCTTCGTTTTTCATTTGAAGCGATTGACGGACTTGGGGTTGAATGGAAGAGAGCAAAAGGGACTGTCATCTCTTAGACTCTTTCTCATGTTATAAGTATGTTCAATTTAGTCAACCAGAATGCTACATTTATTTTAGATTACCTAGTAATGGCTGATGCTTTGAAGATCATAGTTTTTCATCTGAGCTTTCCTGCTTGATGTCATTACCTTGTATGACTAACATTAGCAGCTCTATGATAAGTGTGACTGTGTGAGGTGTTTGCTGGGATGTGGAACTGGAACTAAAGAAGTATAGTTCTGATATTAGTTCTGGGTAGATTGAAATTGAACTAAGATAAATTGATTAAAATGGAGTTTTGATTGAATTGACAAAGAAGTATCAAATGTCAACTCATACCCCACTTGATCATATTCACCATGATGATTTTGATTTTATTTTTCCTTTTCGAAATTAATTTGTGATATAATTTTCTTTATTTATCAACATCTCCCAAAGCAAAATTGAAATGATGGAAAACCACATGTTGCTTCTAATGACCACCCCCGCATTATTGCAACCTTGAAATTAAGAAGCTGTATAATCATGTGTTCTGAATTTTTGTTTTATGCGATGGCGAGATTGAGTACTTAGTGAAAACATGTGCGATTCTCTGCCGTGAGCTTTTAGTGGGATGTGTCAAGGGCTGTGGAAGGAGGCATGGTGAGAGGCTCCGGGGTTAGAGGACGGATGACAACATCACATTATCATACCCTTTATCATTGACAATATGGTACCATTATTTTTTTTGTGGATGATGTGGTGTAGTTGCGATATATATGGCATGTCCTCTTTTACTTTGAAGTTGTGTTGAGTCTGAATTAAATTTGGTAGGAAGAGAGATAGTCTCATTAGGGGAAGTGGAAGATGTTGGTAAATTGGCTGAGATCCTGGGATACTACATGCACATTTTCCTCATGTTTTATTTGGGGTTGCTATATGACTCTTCTATGGGAACAAAGGCTTTGCAGGATTCTGTAGTGGAAAGACTGGTGAAGTGGAGGTGGTGGTATTTCTCTTGCGGGTGGGAGTTGAGGGTAGGAAGGAGAGGTTAAATACTTAACTGTTATTTCGAGTACCCTTTCCCGCTTGTCAACCTACATGTAGTTTAACTGATCCTGGCTTCAGTTGAGAAGAGATTGGAGAAGTTGTAAGGGACATTTTATTTATGACATGGATGATGTTTGTTGTTAAAGGAGGAGTTAGGACTATGGAAGCCTGGATTTTTAAGCTAGTATGGGAGTATGAGAGTTGATTGATTATTGAAAAGGTGATGTCTTCTTGCAGTTATGACTAGGGATTTTTTTCCACACATGTTAACTGTAATGATTAATAGACAGCAGGTAGAATATGTTTTGGTATGATAGGTGGTTTGGAGCGCTCCTTGAGTAATGTTTCCTGATTTGTACAGGATTGTGGTGGATAAGGATGTAAATGTGGAAGATTACGTGTGTTCATCATATGGAGGTGGGGTTTCGGACCTCAGTATTCGTAGCAAGATTGGGAGTAGGGTTGGTAGTGGCTCTATTTCAGATGCTTTTTGGGTTCTCGCTTGGAAGGTGAGCATGAGAAGGATATTTGGAGATGGACACCTTACAGATGGGGAAGTTCATGGTTAGCTCTTTCAGAGGGTGAACACTCTTCATATTAGGAAGGCAATAGTGGACTAAAGTCCCTGAAAAGGTTACACTTTTCATTGGACAATAGCCTTGGATAAGATTCTCACTATTGATGACTCTGCTTAAGAGACAAAATTCTTCATAATCAGTTGTATGTTGGGGAGTTGATCAATAAGCTCCTCCATTGTGCAGTGTGCGGGTTTGGCATTCTTGTGCATACTTATTTTATTGTCTATGTCGACCTAATCTTATATTGACCATCACCATTTGTTTTGGAGACATGAAGGCTGTTTATCTGTTGCTAAATGTTTTTATGCCTTTCTTTTTTATTGATGTGAATCATAATATAGTTTCTTATATTATTGTACTAGCTTTACTTCGTGACACAAGATATATCATATTCTGGTGTTTGTATGTATTTTTGAACAAAAATAAAGGACTTTAGTTGCTGGGTCTTGTCCTGTTCAGATCATGTTTAATTCATTTGACGTTTTTCTGAAACCATGTCAGGGTTCTAGTGGGCACTGGTCGGGCATGCTTTGAGACATTGAGGCCATTGGCTTATAGTCTACTGGCAGAAATTGTTCATCATGTTAGGGCGGACCTCTCCCTGTCACAGGTATTAGTTCTCATTAAATCTCCGATGCCACTAATGCTCTCTCCATTTTGTTATCATTGTAGAAGAATGTTAGTGATTGTTTTTAAGAAATTGTTTATTGTTGTTATGTTCTGCTATTTCTTTGATCCTTAATCAGTTTGAACTCTCTAACTTGTCGCGGACCTCTGTGGTTAACTGTTTAATTGTGTTTTGGCATGCTGATTTTAACGTAAGCTATACTTAGTCAAATTTTCTACTCCAGGTTTGTGATGTGTTCTTAAACTCCCCGATCCTTTAGTTTCTCTCTCTATGCACGCTTGTGTATGTGTTTTTGAGGGAGTATAGAGATTTTTGCTTGTCTCTTCTGCTCTCTCTCTCTCTCTCACACACACACACACACAAAGTTCTAGTCATAAGTTTTTTGCTTTATGGCTCTTTTGTGAGGCAATCCCCCCTGGTCTGGCCTAACCACCAGTACCACCACCCTCTTCATTTTCTGCCAAACTTGTCTTTTGTTTGTTCGCAGCCTCCTGCTAAAAAACATCATATGATACATGGTACACACTGAATTGATGATACATTCTGTAATTCTGTTGAGTACCAAATTTGAATTTTTTCTTTAATCTGATCCATCTACCCTTTAATTGAATATGGTTGTGAAGCCAGACATTGAAGTGACGAAAATGCTGGAGTTTGGAATAACAATATGGGAAATGAACAAAGCAATCTGCTTTTAAAAAGAAAAAAATATAATAAAAGGGCATTCGGACCTCAACGGACTTGATTGATATTTGGAGGGGGCCAAAGGGTGGGAGCTCATGTTTGCGATTTTTGGAGGGTGAACCCCCTTTGTGTTTGGTGGAGTCTTTGGAAAGAGCGGAATAGAAGATCTTTTGATGGGGAGGAAATCTCCATTGGGGTGTTGAAGTTTTCTATTATTTGTTCTCTTTTTAGTTGGGGTATGGGGAGAGATTGTATATCTTTAGATGAGATCATGGACTTTTTGGGGTCTTTGGGTCCTTAGGACTTCCCCTTTCCCTTTTTCTGGTTTTTCTGTACAGCTCTTGGGACGTGTTCCCCTCTTGACCGCTTTCTAATACATTTTTACGTATCAAAAATAAAAATAAAAGGGCATTCGGGTGGCTTTCTAGCAACTTGGATATTGCCACACATGTATCCCAATTGCTTCCAATAGTTTGTCCTCATAAACCTTAAGTTCTTGTAATCCTAAGGTCACACAATGATTTCTGATATCTACATATTACAATTTTACAATGCTGATGTAGATCCTACCTGGAGTTTGCCTTTCACCTTTTTTGTCCTTTCCGGTACCTTACTTTTCTATCCTGTCTTATCTTTTTACTTGAATCATTATTTATTTATTTATTTATTATTATTTTTTTCTTAGTTGTGGTACTCACACACACATGCCTCCACCAAGGTTTGAACCCACGACCTCCCTTTGGGAAGTAGGGGTCTGATACCACTAGGCCATTGGCCCGTTGGTTTATTTATTATTATTATTATTATTATTTGGTAAGTATATCTATTTGTTTATTTTTGTGGGATGGGGGAGGGGAGTTGTCTCTATACGATCCTTTGCCATTCTTTTCTTTATGTTTATGGATTGGCTATTATGGTCCACAATTCTAACTAAATCTATAATTGTTGACAATTTGTTTCTTTTGGTTGCAGTTATCACGAATTATTTACTTGTTCTCAAGTAACATGCATGATGCTTCATTGTCGCTCAGCATTCATACTACCTGTGCCCGCTTAATGTTGAATCTGGTGCATGCTCAAACTCTATTCGTTTAATATCGAACAGATTTTATGTTACTGTTTAGTTGACTTGTTATTTTAGTTACTGTTTAGTTGACTTGTTATTTTAGTTACAACTGTTTGACATGTTTGTGGTTGGCAATTGATTTAATTAACTGTTTTTTTTTCCCCCTTTTAGGTGGAGCCAATTTTTGAGAAAGGTGTTGACCAGTTATCTATGGATGATGCGCGGATTTTGTTGGTCTGAGTTTCATATTCCTGTTTAAATTTCTCCTCTTTTCAAATCCAACATTTCTTCATTGTGTACAATTTGTTTTTGTGAATATTTTTATCATTCTTCCTGGGATTGACTATTGTTATCTTTTTCTTTAGGGGCGAATTTTGGATGCTTTTGTTGGAAAATTTAGTACTTTTAAGCGTATGATCCCTCAGGTACTTGAATTTGATTATAAATGTACCATTTACTCTGCTGATATTTTTTTTTTATATGGCATCTCTTTTACATTTTAACAAATTCATGTTTAACAATCTATTGAACTTGAGATTGATTTATATATATTGTTATTGTTAGCTCTCTTTTTTTTCTTGGGTTATGGAGAGAAAATTTTAATCCATAGAGGAGATCGTTGATTTTTTGGGTTCTTTGGGTCCTTAGGATACCTTTTGGCTTTGGCCTTTGTGTAGCTTTTGGGATGCGTTCCCCTTTTGAACGCTTTCTAATACATATTTACTTGCCATTTTTTAAAACTATATATATTTGCTATATTTTGATTGTCTGATTGGTTTTTGAAGGGAATATGATTGGCATTACCGAAATATACGATATAGTAATTTACTGATATGCCTTGCATATCTGAAAATTTCTTACGCAATTCCTTTTCCTCTACCTCTTTATGCAAAGGGGATGGTGAACCATTCAAACTCAATCTAAATTTTAGCGTCATGCTTTGAGGCCAGTTTTGTTAGTTGTAAGGCTTTTGAACAATGAGTTTTTTTGAATGGGATATCATAGGACATAAGGCGATTGCACATATGACATGTGGCCCAACTTCAATTTCTGTTATGGCGTTTGTCTACTTTTTTTGGTCACGGAAAGTCTTGACAACTACTTCCTCCATCCCAATTTAATTGTCCATCTTTCATTTTTGGGCTGCCCAAAATACTTGTGGAAGTTGAAAAGTAAAAAATACATCTTTCCATTAATAGCCTTAGAGTTTTCAAAAAATTCAACTTGATTGTATATATATTCTAACTTGAAAGGATAACTTGGTAACTTTAGAAGGGGACAATGCATTGATTGCATGAGCCAAAGTTACTTATTTATTTATTTAAGCTACCAGATTCATTTGATTGCTTTTGTTCAGAAAACCAAAAACTTGGTAAGCTGTCTCCTTGTTCCCGTCTTAGTATTTAGATTTACGTTATATTACCGTGTTGAAAGGTTACCTCTAAATACGTACCTGTTTTGAGCAGTCCTATTGTGTTACATTATGTAAGACATTACTTTTGCCAGATGTTTCCGTTTTCATGTTTGGCAACATTAATGGGGTTTTCTTGTTTTGTGAAGCTACTGGAAGAAGGAGAGGACGGCAAAGATCGATCTACATTGAGGTCAAAGCTTGAACTCCCAGTGCAGGTCATATTAAGAACTTACCTGTGCTGTTTATTGTTTTATTTATATCCAGAATAGGCATAAACAGTTTTCCCCTTTCTTTTCTTTGGTTTTACCAATAATAATTTCTAGAATGACCTCATTAAATACACAATTTTGTCAACACTGACTTCAATCCAATCCAAAATGTTGCAAGAAAATAATTTGCCTGCTTTTATAGTGTTTTCTTTAAATTTTCAGTTATATTTGTATAGTTGTATCTTTATTTTGTAATTCTTATGTATTTACATTCGCATCATCTGGGCTTCTGTATTATATTTGATAGTGTTTGCTGTTTGTATCTGTTTGGTATGTTTGTTTAAAAGTTTTGTACTGTTCTTGGTGAGGTTTAAAAAAAAAGTTGAGGTACTGATCTGGTTAAGTTATTGTGTCGAATGTGGATCTTCTGAAGTATTAATAAATGAATATACACGTAAAAAGATGGTAGATCTATCAACAATCAGTAAAGTATGTTTAATTTTTTTGTATTACAAGTTGGTTTTGAAATAAATATTTTCTTAAATATATATTTTTTTGTGTTCTAATTTTTGCTATTATACGTTCACTAGTTAGCTTCACGAGCTGAGTACTCCCACATTTGTTGATGTTTGTATCATATTCATAATTTTTACATGTTAGTTAAGAGCTACCTCCTTTTCTATTGTTGAATACATCTTAACAAGTTGGAGAAGAGAGAGATTGTTATTCTGGAATGAGTTGTAACAATCGGGACACTTATTCTTTGTTATGTTGCCATTCCATATCCATATCAATAGTGGGAACGCTGGAAGTCTGTATACGATCTCCAAAGTTATAATTGAGCGATGCATGTTTAATGTAGTATGAGTTTGGTGGGGAAGTCTGGTTTATTTTAGAAACCTCAGGGAAATTTAGGATTTCCATGAAAAAATGGTTGGAGAGGTTTCTGTAATTTTAACTCCTTCAATAGTTTACATTTTAATCCTGTTATGTAGCTAATTACATGGTTATTTATGTCATGAGCATCCAGTTTTTATGTATTTAAGATGATGAACAATGTTAAGCAGGGGAAAGAAAAAGAAAGAACTTTGAATGCTTCAAGCAATAGTTTTAGGATCCATGTTCTAGGGGTGGAATAAATTTAATTTTAGATGTGTGCCTTAAAAGTATCAAATGATAATAGCAGAAAAATGTTTGGTTTTTTTTTTCCCCAATCCTTTTTGATGCTTTTCACTCTGGGCTTTTATAATTTAAGACTGTTTTCTACAGTACAACTTCTTACTAATTTTTTTTATTTTTATTTTATTATTATGTAGTGGTTGAGGCCTTAAAACTTAGCCTGGCTTATTTCTGGAATATAGTTCTTTTTCTTCCTTAAGCCCCAATTTTCTTTCCACACTTTAAATCTTAACACATGATATGGTTGCAGGCAATTCTAAATTTGCAGGTCCCAGTGGAACATTCTAAGGAAGTCAGTGATTGCAAGCATCTGATTAAAACCTTGGTCATGGGTGAGTGTTTTTCTTCATTCTTTTTCCTTTCTGAAATTACTTTAGCAGCATCTGTTGTTTATTTTTTAAGAAGCTTCTGGTGTTCAACACATTTAATTCTGCAGTTACTGCTAAATCAAAACTGAACGTCTTTTTTTTTTTTTTTTTTTTAATTTCTTTATCGGTTTATTACATATCAATGATTTTTGGTTGGATATTTCTTCAGGAATGAAGACTATTATTTGGAGCATCACTCATGCGCATTTACCTCGGTCACAGGTTTTTCAACTCTCTAATTCTAAAGTTTTGCATGTGTTTATATATATATGTATAATAATCTTATTATGCGGCCCCTCTGCTTGTTTAGGTTTCATCTTCTACACATGGGACCTCTCCTCAAGGGCTTGTTCCACCATCATCTAATTCATCAGTGCCACAACCATTTAAAGGATTGAGAGAGGAAGAGGTATTGAACCCAATACGATGATTGATAATGCATACACTTGGTATGATTAGTTTAGGTGATATTGATTGAATTTTTGACAGGTATGGAAAGCCTCTGGTGTTCTGAAGAGTGGTGTGCATTGCTTGGCCCTGTTTAAGGAAAAGGATGAGGAGAGGGAAATGGTCCATTTATTTTCTCAGATTTTGGCTATTATGGAACCTCGAGATCTTATGGACATCTTCTCATTGTGTATGCCAGAGCTCTTCGAATGCATGATTGGCAGCACTCAGCTAGTCCACATATTCTCCACCCTTTTACAAGCCCCTAAAGTCTTCCGGCCATTCGCAGATGTCTTGGTTAACTTCCTTGTGAGCAGCAAACTTGATGTTCTGAAGCATCCGGATTCACCTGCAGCAAAACTTGTTTTGCATCTCTTTCGGTTTTTGTTTGGTGCTGTTGCCAAGGCTCCTTCAGATTGTGAACGTATTTTGCAGCCTCATGTACCTGTAATAATGGAAGCTTGCATGAGAAATGCAGCTGAAGTTGAGAAGCCTCTTGGTTATTTGCAGCTTCTGCGTACAATGTTTCGGGCGCTTGCTGGAGGTAAATTTGAACTTCTGCTGCGGGATTTGATTCCTACGTTGCAACCCTGCCTGAATATGCTTTTGGCCATGCTTGAGGGGCCTACTGGTGAAGATATGAGGGACCTTTTGCTGGAGCTTTGCCTAACATTGCCTGCACGCTTAAGTTCGTTGTTACCACATCTTCCCCGTCTTATGAAGCCTCTTGTTTTATGTCTTAAAGGAAGCGATGACCTAGTGAGTTTAGGTTTGAGGACGCTCGAGTTTTGGATAGATAGCTTAAATCCTGATTTCCTTGAACCAAGTATGGCTAATGTAATGTCTGAGGTGATTTTGGCGTTGTGGTCTCACCTGAGGCCCGCGCCGTATCCTTGGGGTGGGAAATCATTGCAACTTCTCGGCAAGCTGGGTGGTCGTAACAGGCGATTTCTGAAAGAGCCTCTTGCACTTGAGTGCAAGGAAAACCCAGAGCATGGGCTTCGTTTGATTCTTACATTTGAACCCTCAACCCCATTTCTGGTGCCTCTGGATCGTTGTATAAATCTTGCTGTTGCAGCTGTCATGTACAAGAATGGTGGTGTGGATGCATTCTACCAAAAACAAGCTCTGAAATTCCTTCGCGTATGCTTATCATCTCAGCTTAGTTTTCCGGGCAATGTAACTGAAGAAGTATTGACACCTAGGCAATTGTCATCTTTTTTAGTTTCCCCAGTGGATCCATCTTGGAGAAGGTCTGAGACATCAGATATAAAGGTTGGTTTGGCTTGGGCCCGCTGCTCTATTTTTTGCTAGAAGCACCTCCTTAATCCATTCTTGGCCTTTTATTAATTTAATAAATCACATTGCTCTATGATAATGTGTTTTCACCAAATGGTGCCTGTCTATTTATGGATTTAGTTTTATTGACTCTTTGTTCTTATGGGTTTAGGTGTTTTTTGTGAGACATTAAAAGCATCTGCCTTTGTTCTTAAGTTTTATCACATATGCCTTTTGTTTTCAGACTTAGGCAGGAAAGTCTTCCAGTCCATCTTTTTCTGGTGAAAAGTTCCTTTTGTTATGGTTTCGGTGAGACAATAAATGCTGGGAAGACTACATACCAACACTTTTGAAGGCACTAATATGGTTCAACTTTTTGATAAGCGAGTTAATACCATGTGTGTTCTTTTAGATAGTTTGTTTCCTCGGACTAAAAACATGAGCATATACAGTTTCTTCACATGTAACCTATAAAGTTCTTAAAATAATACATGTATATACTTGGGCAGTAACCTATAAAGGCTTGTTGAGTTTATGTGCATAAACTTGCACAATGTGTGAAACAAGACTCTATTAGTCACCTTGTTATCTTGATGCAAAATGGCCTTCTTGTGCATTCTACACTACAATTTTGCTCAATGTGTTTTATCCTTTTGCTTCTTATCTTGATGCAAAATAGGCCTTCTTGTGCATTCTAGCCTACAAGTTTGGTTGATTTGTTTTTTCTTTGACTTCTTACTTACAGAGATATGCGAAACCTTAGTGAATATATGCCCCTTCAAATTTGCAATTTATTTGGTATATGTGAAATTATCTTTTTCCGCAATGATTATGTACTGGTAGATCTCTCCTGATTCTTAAACCAAGACTAGGATTTTTTTCGTTGTAGATGTGGATTTTTTTTCATTTGTTTGCCTCCACAGAAATTCATTTATATTCATTTTCAAATGGTTTTTTAGAAGACAATTTTATTTTAAAGTTATTTTATTATTTATTTTTTATATTGAGTTTTCCACTTTTCTTTTTTGCTCATTTAACAAAATTATTTTGGTTTAGTATTTTTGCTTATTTGTTCGTTTTCTAGACCTTATTTCTCTCGTATTGTTCTTTACAAGTTCAATGATTACCATGACTTCTTGCAGGCTGATTTAGGTGTCAAGACAAAGACCCAACTTATGGCTGAGAAATCTGTTTTTAAGATTCTATTGATGACCATTATTGCTGCTAGTGCAGAACCTGATCTAATTGACCCCAAAGATGAATTTGTTGTTAATATTTGCCGCCATTTTGCAATGATATTTCATGTACAAAATTCTACGGCCAATACTTCGAGTTCGACTGCTCCACTTGGGGGTCCTATGCTATCAAATGCAAGTGCTAGTTGCAAGTCAAGAAATAACACTTCTGATCTGAAAGAGTTGGACCCCTTGATCTTTTTGGATGCCTTAGTGGATGTTCTGGCAGATGAAAATAGACTTCATGCCAAAGCTGCTCTTAGCGCACTGAACGTGTTTGCTGAAACACTTTTGTTCCTTGCTCGCTCAAAACATACTGATGTCCTTATGTCAAGAGGAGGTCCTGGTACTCCCATGATTGTTTCTAGTCCGTCAATGAGTCCTGTATATTCACCACCTCCAAGTGTTCGCGTCCTTGTTTTTGAGCAACTTTTACCTCGTCTTTTGCATTGTTGCTATGGGAGTACTTGGCAAGCACAAATTGGTGGAGTTATGGGACTTGGGGCTTTGGTTGGGAAGGTTACTGTGGAAACTTTATGTGTGTTCCAAGTGCGGATAGTAAGGGGTCTGGTATATGTTCTCAAAAGGCTCCCTCTGTATGCTAGTAAAGAGCAGGAAGAGACGAGTCAGGTGCTTACACAGGTTCTTCGTGTGGTGAATAATGTAGATGAAGCAAACAGTGAAACCCGCAGGCAAAGTTTTCAAGGAGTCGTTGAATTTCTTGCATCGGAGTTGTTTAATGCCAATTCATCTATTAATGTGAGAAAGATTGTGCAGTCCTGTTTGGCACTTTTGGCTAGTAGAACAGGCAGTGAAGTGTCTGAGTTGCTTGAACCCTTGTATCATCCTTTGCTTCAACCCCTTCTAGTGCGACCCCTCCGCTTAAAGACTGTTGATCAGCAGGTAAATTATGTTACTTTTGGTTGTATACAGTTCATAAATTTTCTTTATTTACTTAATTGCTTTGTATTTAGGTTGGGACAGTAACTGCTTTGAATTTCTGCTTGGCCTTGAGGCCTCCTCTTTTGAAGTTGACTCAGGAGCTAGTTAATTTTTTGCAAGAAGCATTACAAATAGCTGAGGCTGATGAAACTGTGTGGGTTGTGAAGTTTATGAACCCAAAAGTAGCCACATCATTAAATAAACTCCGCACAGCTTGCATTGAGCTTCTATGTACGGCAATGGCATGGGCAGATTTTAAAACACAAAATCATTCTGAACTCCGAGCAAAGATCATTTCCATGTTTTTCAAATCCTTGACAAGCAGGACACCCGAAATTGTGGCTGTTGCTAAGGAGGGCCTACGACAGGTATGATTTTGCTTGCCACATTTCGTTGATTTTTGTTTTCTGGTAGGTAGAAAATGATTGCAAAGCAATAGCATCATGTTTCCTATACTTCTAAGAGGCAGCCTCTGTTTGGTATTTCTGCTGGCTACAAGTGTTCCTAGCTACCAACAGGCCAGTGGCCTAGTGGTACTAGGCCTCTACTTCCCAAAGGGAGGTTAGGGGTTCGAGCCTCTGTGGAGCCATGTGTGTGTGAGTACCAACTAAGAAAAAAAAAAAAAAAAAAAGAAAAAAAAGAAAAAGGAAAAAGAAAAGTGTTCTTAGCTCTTTGGTGGACTTGACTCTTGATTTTCATCTATGAATTACTGGTTGGAAAGTATGTTTGCTGCTGGTTTGATTGAATATTGGTTGACCTTATGTCCAATGATGGGTCATCGAGTTGGTGGTTCTCCCTAACTTATGGGAATGCAAATAATTGGCTTGCAATTTTTCTTTGGTTCTTATTGTCATTCTTTGTAAGCTTTTCTATATTATACTCCAAAATTTAATTTTCTCTTCTATTTTATATTGCCATCTGTTAGGTTATTTTACAGCAAAGGATGCCTAAAGAACTTCTGCAGAGCAGCCTGAGACCTATATTAGTCAACTTGGCACATACCAAAAATCTCAGCATGCCTCTTTTGCAAGGTCTGGCCCGCCTACTGGAACTTCTATCGAACTGGTTTAATGTTACCTTGGGTGGGAAGTTGTTAGAGCATCTTAAAAAATGGTTGGAACCTGAAAAACTTGCACAGTGTCAGAAGTCTTGGAAGGCTGGTGAGGAACCGAAAATAGCTGCTGGTGAGTTATCTGTTGTATGGAAATTTACCATTAAGTTTGCACATATATGTATCTATGTAATGTTATTGGTTAAAAATGTATTAAGGAAGATGCAATTATGAAGGTTTTAGGACTATGTGGCATTCTTATTGAGGTTTGAACTTTGAAGTGTTTAGGGAATGATGACTTGTCTTTGACTAACAATCAAGAGAATGCTTGATGTTATGCGCAGAAGTATTTTTATTACCTATGTATAAAAATTAAGGGAATATACAAAGTTGTGCTAATTATCGTGGTATTAAATTAGTGAGTCGCACTATGAAACTTTGAGAGAGGATAATTGAACGACTAAGATGAGAAATTGAAGTGTCGGAGAACCAATTTGAATTCATGTTGGGAGGTCTATGATGGAGGTTTTTTACTTATTAAAGAAACTAATGAAAAGATACAGACAGAAGAAGGAAGATTTTATATGGTTTTTGTTGATTTAGAGAAAGGACTATGATAGGGTACCTCTAATATGGAGGAATTTAGAAAGGAAAGGAGTCGCAAAATAATATATTGATACAGTAAAGGACATATCTGATTGATATGACTATAAATAGAATGAGCATGGGGAAACAAAGGAATTTTCAATTATTTTAAGCTTACATCAAGGGTTAGCATTAAACCATATCTTATTGCCTTAGTTATGGATGAACTGACAAGACACATTTAAGATGAGATTCCTTGGTGCATGTTATTAGTTGACGGTTAACTAGAGGAGTAAGTGCTAAATTGGAAATTTGAAGGAAAACTCTAGAAGTAAAAGGGTTCAAGATAAGTACAAACAAAATTAAGTATAAGGAAGAGTGACTTTAGTAAATCTAAAAATACAAATAGAGATGCAGTGAAGATTGAGGATCAAGAGATACTAAAAAGTGAATTTTTCTGTTATTTGGGCCCAGTTATTAACAAGGAGAAACTGAAGACGGTCTTAATCCTAAAATCTATCAGAATGGGTTAAATGAAAGAGTGCGTCTAGTGTGCGTGTGATCGGCATATTCTACAGTTTTTAGACCCTTTGTCCTTTATGAGACAAAATGTTGAGCAGTAAGAAAAACATTTGCATAATGTCATTGTGAGGAAATGTAAATGTTGAGATGGACGGGTGGCAAGGCAAGAAATGATATAATTTGAAATGAAAAACTCATGAGACGGTTGAAGTAGTTCCAATTGGAGATGAAATAAGAAATAATTGATTAAGATGGTTCAGACGTGCAAAGAGTGACAGTCGTCATTGAGGGTGCTGCTAGGGTAAGGAGAAAACTAAAATTAACATGAGTATAATTAGTTAGAGAATATAACACGTGGTTTGACAGAGGCCATGACCTTCGAGCATAATGGGGAAAAGAATTCATATAACCGACATATAGTTGAGTTATATATGTTATTGTTGGTGTTAATATTCATTTTTTAAAATTCTTTTTTGCAGCTATTATTGAGCTTTTCCACTTGCTTCCTCATGCTGCGGGAAAGTTCCTTGACGAGCTTGTAACCTTGACTATTGATTTGGAAGCAGCTCTTCCTCCAGGACAATATTATAGTGAGATTAATAGCCCATATCGCCTTCCTCTCACTAAATTTTTAAACCGTTATCCAGCAGCTGCTGTTGATTATTTTCTCGGTCGATTATGTCAGCCGAAATACTTCAGACGGTAGTGTTTAAGATCTTTGGATGGTGGTGTTCACCTATGATTGACTTATCTATGATCACTGAAATAATTTTTTTTTTCAATTTAATGATGGGAAATCCAGGTTTATGTATATATTACGATCAGATGCTGGCCAGCCCTTGAGAGAAGAACTTGCAAAGTCACCAGAGAAGATACTTGGAAGCGCCTTCCCTGAATTCCTGCCAAAATCAGATGCATCAACGGTTCAGGGATCTTTAACTCCACCTACGGCTTTAATTGGAGATGACAGCCTTGTTTCTACTCTACCTGAGAGTTCTAATGCACAGTCTATAGCCACAAGTGCAACATCAGATGCTTATTTTCAGGGGCTTGCTCTTATTAAAACTTTGGTTAAACTGATGCCTGGCTGGTTGCAGAGTAATCGTGTTGTTTTTGATACCCTAGTACTTCTGTGGAAATCACCTGCAAGAATCACCCGTTTGCATAATGAACAGGAACTGAACTTGGTGCAAGTACGTTTAACATTTTAACACGCACTAATTGTGTTTTGCCATATCTTACATATGGATTATTTATTCAAAATTTATCTTTCTTTGCGAAAGCCATTTGTTATAACTCTCTCTCTACCCACACCCGCACACATATCGCTGTCTGATGTTCCTCAACTTGTTTAATATACAGGTGAAAGAAAGTAAATGGCTTGTCAAATGCTTCCTGAATTACCTACGACATGATAAAACTGAAGTCAATGTTCTGTTTGATATCCTCTCCATCTTCTTGTTCCGAACTCGCATTGATTTTACTTTTCTGAAAGAGTTTTATGTTATTGAGGTATGGTTTTTTAAGGACAGCTTGGTCACTTTTTAGCTGAATGTCTAATTATTCTTTTTCATTTGTTTCAAATTTAATTTGCATTTTGATAGTGCTACCATCTATCATATTGTCTTCCAGGTCGCTGAGGGCTATCCATCCAATATGAAGAAAACACTTCTTTTGCATTTTTTGAACCTGTTCCAATCAAAACAGCTAGGCTATGATCACTTGGTTATTGTCATTCAAATGCTCATTCTTCCTATGTTAGCTCATGCCTTCCAGAATAGTCAAAGTTGGGAGGTCGTTGACACTTCTATCTTAAAAACAATTGTCGAAAAGATTCTTGATCCTCCAGAAGAGGTGAATTCTTGACGCTGTGTGTAGTTTTTCATGTTTTATATCTGAAATTCTTTTCTCCAATTTATTTATTAGCACTTTTATCTTTTTAACGTCAAAATTATCCTCTTTTTTTCATAGGTTTCTGCTGATTATGATGAGCCTTTGAGGATAGAACTTTTGCAGCTCGCTACTTTGCTTCTTAAATATCTTCAAGGTGACCTTGTTCATCATAGGAAAGAACTAATCAAATTTGGCTGGAATCATCTAAAACGTGAAGATAGTGCCAGCAAGCAGTGGGCATTTGTCAATGTTTGCCACTTCCTTGAGGCCTATCAAGCCCCGGAGAAAATTATACTCCAGGTACCTTTGTGGATATGCATTTAGAACAGTTTATATATATGTTTTATGCCCATTGTGCTCTTTTTGGCATTTCCATTTTCAGTGTGTCATAAACTAGGTGAACTTTGTTAATATGAGTTATCTATCCATTGGATAGCCCTTTTGGATTCATGGCCTCAATTAAGAGTTACTTCATTTTATTGTATTTTATTTTATTGTTATTATTATTATTATTATTTTGAATTCTGAACATTTCCTTTCTCTAAATTGACCAGTGGAAGTCACTAGATCAAAACTCAGAATGTTACTAATGCTTCACTGGGAATGAGGGAGGGAGATATATATATATATATAGAGAGAGAGAGAGAGATGGTGGGGGTAGGAGGAAAAAAACGAAGAATTCTGCAATTTTAACTTGTCACGTCACTAAAATATGGTTATAGAATTTTTTTTATTTTTTAAATATCCATTTCTGATATTGTGGAAGTAGGTTGTGTTTTTGGATTAGATAATCGATTAGTATTATGGAAACTTCCTGTGAATAAAAGAATTTCTTGAACTTGATATTTTTAGCAGATGCAGAGATTTCTTTATTCATCATTGCTCTTGGTACATTATTAGCTATGTTCACTTTTGATGTAGGACAGAGTAGTGCTCTGATCAGTGGTTAGGGATTATGAAACCAAGTTGAAGTAGAATAGAAACAAAGCAGGGTACAAGAAGACAGAAGATGAGATTAGGTTATAGAAGGGGATGTGGAGACAGACGAAGGAGGTGAGAGAACATATTGAAAAGATTGGATGAATAAATTGAAGGGTTGAGATGAACAGAAACAGAGAGGGAGAAGAAGATAGAGTGAATTTTCAAACCATGATAATATGGGCAGCAATTTTGACAGTCTATTGTTTGCTTAGAAGTTTTAGTGCAAGGAGATTTTTTCTAGGACTCGGCCAAAAAAAATTTCCTATTTTTTCATAGCTTCTTTCTTTTCTCAGGCTTGTAATTTGGTTTTTAACATGTATTTACCCTTTTAGTTCTCTGTTTCTTTCTATTGCTTAATCTGATGAGACACCCCATGCTTTTTTCCCCGGTAAAATGAGGTCCCCCTTGTTGATAATTTTGTTTCTTTCTTCTTCTTCTTCTCCTTCTTCTTTTTTTTTTTATTTTATTTTTATTTTTTGTATAACTATGTATCCCTTTCTCAATTGTTAAATAAGAGGTAAACAAGGTTCAATCTGCCATAGGCATCAAGTTTAATGGTGCAAGGGTATGCCTGTATATGGTTTGTGTGACTTAAGGTGGAATTGATTCTTTATTCCATTTTATAGTTTTCAATAAAATAAATGTTTCTCGAGGAATAAAAAGATTTTCATCTATATTTTATTTGTTTCACTTATCATAATTGTCTTGGAATCCAGTAAATCAGTTGATGTGGAATATTTAAGTCATTTTATGTCCTTTTTTATGCTTCTGTAGTGTTGAATTATATGTGATTGATTGTTTAGTTTTGCCATTTACAAGATCCAGATTTGTGGGTTATTCTTTCAAGTTTACCTTTTTCTTGTTTCCAATCAATCTATGTATAGAAATTACATGATGAACATTGTATCTATTAAATTGCCACTCTGATAGCAAATTGCAACTGCAGGTGTTTGTTGCCCTTCTCAGGACTTGCCAGCCTGAGAATAAAATGTTGGTTAAGCAAGCCCTTGATATATTAATGCCAGCACTTCCAAAAAGATTGCCTCTTGGAGATTCCCGTATGCCAATTTGGATACGTTACACGAAAAAGATTCTAGTTGAGGAAGGTCACTCGATTCCTAATTTAATCCACATATTCCAGCTCATTGTCCGCCATTCAGATCTCTTCTACAGCTGCAGAGCACAATTTGTACCTCAGATGGTAAATTCTCTTAGTCGCCTGGGATTGCCGTATAATACTACGGCAGAAAACAGGCGTCTAGCAATTGAACTTGCCGGGTTGGTTGTTGGTTGGGAAAGGCAAAGGCAAAATGAAATGAAACTAGTGACTGATGGTGACATTGTTAACCAAAATATTGCTGGATTTAGTCATGGATCTGTTGCTGTTGATCCTAAGCGTCCAGTGGATGGATCTATTTTCCCTGAAGATTCTGGTAAGAGAGTAAAGGTTGAAGCTGGTCTTCAGCCCCTCTGTGTCATGTCACCTGGTGGTGCCTCTTCGATTCCTAACATAGAAACTCCAGGTTCTGCTGGCCAACCTGATGAAGAATTTAAGCCAAATGCAGCAATGGAGGAAATGATCATCAATTTTCTCATAAGAGTAAGGGTTTTATAATTATTTTTTTCCTTAAAATCTCAGTACAATCTACAACGAACACTTTCAGTTGCATGTAACTAAACCCTTAAGTCCTAGCCCTTATACAAAAATGTATAAAACTTTTTCGTCAAATATTCAATTCCATTGTGTTTTCTGTATGTATCAGTACTTTTTAGCTACTTCCTGATTTTTCTGATTGTTACAAGTAATTACCCAAATCCTCAAATCAATCCTTCTTGTATTACCCATGCTTATTGTTTTTCCTAAACACCATTCTAATATTTATTTCTAAATTAACTTTTTGGTTTTCCTCGGAGTGAGTAAGTAATTCATTAGAAAGTTTCTTTAGACACTGAATTATTAAAATACTGAATATTATATATATGTATATATATTTCAAAAACTGAAGGACAAAAAATGATGAAAGTATATGCTCCCCCCCCCCCCCCCCCCCCCCAACCCCCTCCTCTCTCTCTGAACCCGGGAAATAAAATAAAAACGGATAGCTATATGACATTCAAACCTTCCAGAAAAAGAAATCGAAATGCAAATTAAATGCACCCAGAAAATAGTACATCTCTATACTTTCCTTCGGTCATAAGAGCATGTTTACTTTCTTGTTAATGAATTTATGTACAGATTTGGCACATGCCACTGTTTAACATATATACTTGGTATCTGACATGTAAACTCCTTAAGATAATGGCAAATAAATGTGTACTTGTTACATAAATCACCATTATTAGTGCCTATGCTGCTTTGTTGGGTTGGCCTGTTGCATCTTTTACTGAATTTTGTTACCGAGTTGTTGCAAAATGTGCTAGTTACTTCAATCTTTTCACGTGTATTTGCTTTAAATACTACTGTAGCAACCAGCTGTCTTACAATACCGTTTCCTGTAAGTTACTCTGATACCATTACCATGTGCTGTATGACGGTTGGTCTGTCTGATAGTTTGTGATGCTATGTTTGGAAAGAGGATTATTTGTTTGAGAACACAGCTGATACAGGCAAAATATTTACTTGGGGTTTGTGGAATTAGGTTGCATTGGTCATAGAACCCAAGGATAAGGAAGCAAGTCTCATGTACAAACAAGCTTTAGAGCTCCTATCGCAAGCTTTGGAGGTGTGGCCAAATGCTAATGTCAAATTCAATTATCTAGAGAAGCTGCTGAGCAGCATTCAGCCATCTCAATCGAAGGACCCGTCTACAGCTCTTGCACAAGGTTTGGATGTTATGAACAAGGTTCTGGAGAAGCAACCACATTTGTTCATTCGAAATAACATTAACCAGATTTCTCAAGTATGTTTGTCGGTGCTAACCTTTTTCTTTTTCACAGAGGTCTGTAACTGGTTGAAGTTTTTATTTATTGTGTCATTGCCACTTGTTTTGTAGATTCTTGAACCCTGTTTCAAGTATAAAATGTTAGATGCTGGAAAGTCATTGTGTTCCCTGTTGAAGATGGTCTTTGTTGCTTTTCCTCTTGAAGAAGCAAGTACACCACAAGATGTGAAGATATTGTATCAAAAGGTCGAGGACCTCATACAGAAGCACCTTGCCGCTGTCGCTGCTCCCCAAACATCGGGGGAAGATAACTCTGCTAACACGATTAGCTTTGTGTTATATGTCATTAAAACCTTGGCAGAGGTACAGAAGAATTTTATCGATCCTTTTAACTTGGTTCGTGTCCTTCAACGCTTGGCACGAGACATGGGATCTACAAGTGGGTCATATGCAAGACAAGTATGGCATATTTTCACAAATTAATTTTTTTTCCCCTATGATTTCATGTGATTTGCCTACTTATATGACATGTGACTGGACATTTGGCCATTATAAAAAATCATTATGCATGCTTACTAATGCTAGGACTAGGAGTGAGACCAAATTTCGATATGTTTCACTTTTGTGATCTGTGATAAAATTCTTTCTGGTTTGTGATCAGTCTTTCTGGATTGATTTTTTGAGTTTTGAACCTGGAGCTTGTACAAGTAATGGTGTGTCTGCTTGTTGAGGACCATTCTGGTGTTCCAGTTCCAACTAGATATAAAATCTGATACATCCATCGTGATGGTCTTAATCTGTGGTACTAGTATTTCAAAAGGTTATGGATAAAAGCTTATAATCTATTTCCAGCCTGGAGCAATCTACCCACCTTAGTATGGCTGACTCTCAATTCCACAATCCAGTATTCATTCATTTTACTAGTTTTAGTTGTTGTACTCTCCAAGTTGGATATATTCTAGTGCTGTCCCTTCCTTAGTTGGTCTTGGTGCCATATGTTGTTTACTTTGTCATGTTAGCTTTTCTGAAACTACGTATAACTAACAATTGGCCATTTCAGGGTCTGAAAACAGATCCAGATGCAGCAGTCACTTCTCGTCAGGGTGCTGATAGCGGAGCAGTTATTGCTAATCTTAAATCTGTTTTAAAACTTATCAGTGAAAGAGTCATGCTTGTTTCAGAATGCAAACGATCTGTCACTCAAATCCTCAATGCCTTGCTCTCAGAGAAAGGTACTGATGCTTCTGTGCTTCTATGCATACTTGATGTAATTAAGGGGTGGATTGAAGATGACTTCTGTAAACCTGGAATGCCTGTTACATCAAGTACTTTTCTGACTCCGAAGGAAGTAGTTTCTTTCCTTCAGAAGCTTTCACAAGTTGATAAGCAGAACTTCTCCCCTACTGCCCTGGAAGAGTGGGATAAGAAATATCTTCAACTTCTTTATGGACTTTGTGCTGATTCAAACAAGTAAGTGTATTTGTGGAAAATCTTTGGTCAATGGTCAGTATATCAAAATTAATGATTTAATTGATTTGCAGATATCATCAACCCAATCTACGCCAAGAAGTGTTTCAGAAGGTAGAGAGGCAATTTTTGCTTGGTTTAAGGGCGAAATATCCTGAAATTAGGATGAAATTCTTCTCACTTTACCATGAGTCTCTAGGGAAAACACTTTTCACGAGACTGCAGTACATTATCCAAGTCCAAGACTGGGAAGCTTTGAGTGACGTCTTCTGGCTCAAACAAGGCCTGGATCTTCTTCTTGCCGTATTAGTTGAGGATAAACCTATTACACTTGCTCCAAACTCTGCCAGGGTTCCACCGCTCATGGTGTCAGGTTCTTTTTCAGATTCTTCCATGATGCAGTCCTTGGTTGCCGATGTTGCAGAAGGTTCCGAGGAAGCTCCCCTTACATTTGATAGCCTTGTATTAAAGCACGCACAGTTTCTAAATGAGATGAGCAGACTTCAGGTAATTACATTCACTTTCGATATTGGTTCTGTCAGTTTCCATAAATATGGTGGTCAATTTCATGGTTAGTATTCTGGACAATTATATAAAAGTTCAATGAGGTTTTCTGTTATACTGTCGGGTTGGATTGCCATTGATATGCTAGTACTTGTGTGCTTGTGTTGTATGTGACACTGTTGATTCTGATTGAAAGTTGTTCAAGTCATCTGACTCTTTTATAAACTGGATCTTTGGTTTTAATGAAGTCATGTTCCATTTTATGGGAGTTCTGTGGAAATTACCAATGGGCAATTTTTTTTGTCATATTTTGTAAATGTTATTGATCTCATTTTACGATTTTTTCCTCTTGTAGGTGGCTGATCTTGTTATTCCACTGAGAGAGCTTGCCCATACAGATGCAAATGTTGCATATCATTTGTGGGTGCTGGTGTTTCCAATTGTCTGGGTGACTTTACAAAAGGATGAGCAGGTAGCACTTGCTAAGCCAATGATAGCTCTCTTATCAAAAGATTATCACAAGAAGCAGCAGGGAAGTAGACCCAATGTTGTGCAAGCCCTTTTAGAAGGGCTTCAGTTGAGCCACCCTCAGCCTCGAATGCCTAGTGAACTCATCAAATACATTGGAAAGACTTACAATGCATGGCACATAGCATTGGCTCTGTTGGAAAGCCATGTCATGTTGTTCGTGAATGAGACAAAGTGCTCTGAGTCTCTAGCTGAGCTTTACCGTTTGCTCAATGAAGATGATATGAGGTGTGGGTTATGGAAGAAACGATCGATTACAGCAGAAACTAGGGCTGGGCTTTCACTTGTTCAGCATGGTTACTGGCAGCGTGCTCAGAGCCTCTTTTACCAAGCCATGGTTAAGGCAACACAAGGCACTTACAACAATACGGTACCAAAGGCTGAAATGTGTCTCTGGGAAGAACAGTGGCTTCATTGTGCTAGTCAACTCAGTCAGTGGGATGTGTTGGTTGACTTTGGAAAACTTATTGAGAACTATGAAATATTACTGGACAGTCTTTGGAAACAGCCGGATTGGGGATATTTGAAAGAGCATGTAATTCCGAAGGCTCAAGTAGAAGAAACTCCGAAACTTCGAATTATCCAAGCCTACTTTTCCCTTCATGAAAAAAATACAAATGGTGTAGGTGATGCTGAAAACATTGTAGGAAAAGGTGTTGATCTTGCTTTGGAACAGTGGTGGCAATTGCCTGAAATGTCCGTTCATGCCAGAATTCCTCTCCTGCAGCAATTTCAACAGCTAGTTGAAGTTCAAGAATCAGCTAGAATTATAGTGGATATTGCCAATGGAAACAAACTTTCAGGAAGTTCTACTGCTGGTGCACATGGTGGCATGTATGCAGATCTGAAGGATATTCTTGAGACCTGGAGACTGAGAACGCCAAATGAATGGGACAATTTGTCAATATGGTACGATTTACTCCAGTGGAGGAATGAAATGTATAATGCAGTTATTGATGCATTTAAAGAATTTGTTACCACAAATTCACAACTTCATCACCTTGGTTACCGTGATAAGGCATGGAATGTCAACAAGCTAGCTCACATTGCTCGTAAGCAGGGCCTCTATGATGTTTGTGTGTCAATATTAGAAAAGATGTACGGACACTCAACAATGGAGGTGCAGGTATTATAAGCTTCTTTCTTCCTTGACTTATTATAAGTTAGTTGTATGTTTATTCATTTAGCCTTTTGGATTGAGGAGGGTGGTGGATGGATCTATCTCATTGTTATCTACTTTACATGCTTCCAGGAGGCCTTTGTTAAGATACAAGAACAAGCAAAAGCTTATCTAGAAATGAAGGGAGAGCTTACTAGTGGGCTTAATTTGACCAGCAGCACCAATCTGGAATATTTTCCTCTGAAACATAAAGCAGAAATTTTTCGTCTCAAGGGAGACTTCTTATTGAAACTGAATGACTGTGAAGGTGCAAACCTTGCGTATTCAAATGCCATTACCCTTTTCAAGAACTTGCCTAAAGGATGGATAAGCTGGGGAAACTATTGTGACATGGTACTCATTGTTTGCTGCATATCATATGACTTGACTTTGCTGGTAACTTGAATTTCTAATCTCCCATCTACTTCTTTCAGGCTTATAAAGAAACCCATGATGAGATTTGGTTAGAGTATGCTGTGAGCTGCTTTCTACAAGGTATTAAATTTGGCATTCCTAACTCAAGAAGTCATCTAGCTCGTGTTCTATATCTTCTCAGCTTTGATACTCCTAACGAACCTGTGGGGAGAGCGTTTGATAAGTACCTGGACCAAATACCACACTGGGTTTGGCTTTCTTGGATTCCACAGCTTTTACTTTCCTTGCAGCGGACAGAAGCTCCTCATTGCAAACTTGTTCTACTAAAAATTGCCGCCGTATATCCGCAGGTAAATATTAAATTACTTCCTGTGGATGCTATATGGATTAGACTGCCATTTCAATTACTTTTAAGGACATGGTTTTTTTTTTCCTTTTAAAATCTTAGGCATTGTATTACTGGCTGCGCACATATTTGCTCGAACGTCGTGATGTTGCAAATAAGTCTGAATTTGGTAGAATACAAATGGCTCAGCAAAGAATGCAGCAAAATGTCTCTGGTGCTGGTGCAAGTTCAATTGGCTTGGCTGATGGGAATGCAAGAGTGGCAAGTCATAGTGGGGGTTCTTTAGCTTCTGACAATCAGGTTCATCAAGCAAGTCAATCCGGTGGTGCTGTTGGATCACATGATAGTGGAAACTCCCAGGTTCAAGAGCCTGACAGGCCCACAGCTGTTGAAGGTGGTGTGCATCCTGGGAATGATCAACCCTTGCAACAGAGTTCGTCGGCCATCAATGATGGTGGTCAGAATGCATTAAGGCGTAATGGTGCTTTGGGTTTGGTTGCTTCGGCTGCCAGTGCTTTTGATGCTGCAAAGGATATAATGGAGGCTCTTCGAAGCAAACATACTAATTTGGCTAGCGAACTTGAGGTGACAAATTTGGGTTCTATATCTATCTATCTTTTTCTTTTTTCTTTTCTTTTTTTAATTACATATTTTGACACTATTGTGACAGTATTAAAGAAAGAAAAATCACAAAAAATATATACTGGTTGGATAGCAGCAAAAAACAACAGCAAAACCTTTTCTCAACTACTTGGGTTCGGCAAGATGATTCTTATTTTTCCATTTTCCTCATTCTAAGGCCTCATTCAAATCACATATTATCACATCTTTCCTTGTGGACTATGTCATCTTCCTAACTGGTGCACTTAGTGCTCATACTGGTTGGATAGGTTGTGAGAAAATAGCCTTTTATTCATGAGAATTACTGTGACTTGATAGCATTTGATAGTTTGTGGGGATCATTTTATTTTTCCAGATTCTACTCACAGAAATTGGCTCAAGGTTCGTCACTCTGCCAGAGGAAAGGCTGCTAGCAGTGGTCAATGCGCTGCTCCACCGCTGTTACAAGTACCCAACTGCCACTACAGCAGAGGTTCCCCAGTCTCTCAAGAAGGAGCTTTCCGGTGTTTGCAGGGCCTGCTTTTCAGCTGATGCTGTGAACAAGCATGCTGACTTTGTTAGGGACTACAAGCAAGATTTTGAGCGTGATCTTGATCCAGAAAGCACAGCTACATTTCCCACCACCCTTTCTGAGCTAACTGAGCGATTGAAGCACTGGAAAAATGTTCTCCAGAGCAATGTCGAGGACAGGTTTCCAGCTGTTTTGAAGCTTGAAGATGAAAGCAGGGTGCTGCGCGACTTTCATGTCGTTGATGTGGAGGTTCCAGGACAGTATTTTACTGATCAGGTAGGCTGAATTAATTTAATTGTAGTAAATTAGTCAAACTGAAGATCTATTGGTATGTGATTTGGAATGAACCAACTCGCATAACATCATTTTATTTTAAAACGGTGTTGAGTAACAAACTCAAATATTGGCTGGTAATATAAGAAAATCTGTTTGAACTATTAGAATATTTAGAAAACAAGATAATTTTAAAATTATAAGCTAAAGTTGCAGTAGCAGCTGTACGCTTCTTATTTTCTTACATTTTTAGTTGGATTAGGGATGTCAATTTAATCTGTCCCAATGGGGATCCTACCCCACCCACCCTGTTTCGTTTTAATTGGGCTAGGAGAAGGTTTGGGAATGAGAGTCAAGACCCACTTCACTTCGAACCTATGTTTTTATTTTTTTAAATATACAGAAATAGATAATTTATTATTTGTATTTTTGTTCTTTTCTTCATTTTTCATGATATTTTGGATTCGTATTATTATATTGGCATAATTTATGGTTAAAGTTGGTAAATATTTTGTTTTATTTAAATTTTTTCCTAAAGGAATTCTATCTTGAATTTGTTTAGGACTTCTTCTAGTTGTTTAAGTACTGCATAGCATTATGCTCAAAGCCTGTCCCAATTTCTAAGCGAAGTGGGGGTGGGTTTGGTAATTTGATTTTTCTTCATGAAATGGGCTTGGTATGGGGGTACCTGGTACCATGTCCACCCGGTTACATCCCTAACATGGTTGGGAACATTTCTTTATTATTTATTTACTTTGTCTTTCTATTTTTTACTTTTTTGTTGAAATGCTTTTGTGACGTGGGTAACAATTCTATCTTATCAGGAAGTTGCACCAGATCATACTATAAAGTTAGACAGGGTTGGAGCTGACATTCCAATAGTGCGAAGGCATGGAAGCAGTTTCCGGCGTTTGACTCTAATTGGTTCTGATGGGTCGCAGCGTCATTTTATTGTTCAGACGTCTTTGACCCCAAATGCCAGAAGTGATGAACGCATACTTCAGCTTTTCCGTGTGATGAACCGAATGTTCGATAAGCACAAGGAATCGAGACGCCGCCACATATGTATTCACACGCCTATTATCATCCCCGTCTGGTCTCAGGTGATAAGTTCAGCTTTCACTGCCTTTTAATTCTGATGATTTCTTCCTTTCCCAGTTACAGAATCCTGATGAATTTTCTATTGTCATTTAGGAAGTATGGCAAGTAAATTGCGTGTTTGTAGATTGTAGGACATTCCAATGGTGTATCCACCAAGAAAAATGATTTTCTTTCTTTTGTTTTTTTATTTTGCTTTATTTTTTTAAATCCGTGTTATGTGGATTTCTTAGTTCAGATGGATTGGATGGTGGATCAAATAGTAGATCCCACCAATGACGGTGCTTTATTTTTTTATGCTGTGTATGTTTTACAGATTTCACAAGTTAGGTGTAATGAATGGTGTGGCTACTTTATATATGACACCTGGTGCAAAGACAAGAATGGTTGTTTATCAGCTTTTATTCTAATTTATGATGATGAATGCTTGACTAGGTCCGCATGGTAGAAGATGATTTGATGTACAGCACCTTCCTTGAGGTGTATGAGAATCACTGTGCAAGGAATGACAGAGAAGCAGACCTACCCATTACCTACTTCAAGGAACAATTAAACCAAGCTATTTCTGGCCAGATATCACCGGAAGCTGTTGTAGACCTGCGCCTCCAAGCTTACAATGACATTACAAAAAATTATGTGACCGATAGCATATTGTCCCAGTACATGTACAAGACTCTGCTGAGTGGAAACCATATGTGGGCTTTCAAAAAGCAATTTGCCATCCACTTGGCCCTTTCAAGTTTCATGTCGTTCATGCTACAAATTGGGGGAAGGTCCCCAAACAAAATATTGTTTGCTAAGAACACAGGAAAAATATTCCAGACAGATTTCCATCCGGCCTATGATGCAAATGGAATGATCGAGTTTAATGAACCAGTGCCTTTCCGCCTGACAAGGAATTTGCAGGCGTTTTTCTCACATTTTGGAGTTGAAGGCCTTATTGTTTCTGCCATGTGTGCCGCAGCTCAAGCTGTGGTTTCATCTAAGGTGAGTCTTACTCCAGAGATGTCAAGTTCCCCTTTAGATTAACTTCATTCTTTTTGATACTGATAAACATTTTGTTGAACTTTGTAAATTGCAGCAAACTCAGCATTTATGGCATCATTTAGCTATGTTTTTCCGTGATGAGCTCTTATCTTGGTCTTGGAGAAGACCCCTCGGGATTTCCATGGGCCCTGTTGGAGGGGGCAGTTTGAACCCTATTGAGTTTAAGCAGAAGGTCACTACAAATGTTGAGCATGTTATTAGCCGGATCAATGGAATAGCCCCACAGTACATCTCTGAGGAGGTAATTCTTTTTACCTTTTGATGATTGCACAAAGCTGTGTGTAGATACTTTACTTCAACCATTTTTTTTTTTTTTTTTTTTTTTAAATCCAAGTGAAGATTGTTGCAATTGGCATTCACTAAAATAAAATCATTTTCACTACATGCAGGAGGAGAATGGTGTGGACCCACCACAATCCGTGCAGAGGGGTGTAACTGAGTTGGTTGAAGCTGCCCTGACCCCGAGGAACCTTTGCATGATGGATCCAACATGGCATCCTTGGTTCTAACCATTTTTTGCTATTTAGTCCCCCAATAGACAGACCCAGGCAGAATGTTCAGCAGCTGTAACTATAATAGCAAAAAATGGTTTTTAGCAGTTGTAAATATAGTATGTATATATTGCTGCTAACTTTTGACAATCATTTTGCGACTCCAAATGTAATCTTGACACTCAATATGGAAATTAATTGCTTGCTTTTTGTGGGTGGCATAAACAGATCTATTTCTTTTGTTTGTTGTGGTTTGTGTCATGGTCTTGATTAACGTTTGCATGAATCAACCATAATGACAAGCCTGAGTTTTTACATGGGTTGGTCTCGGTCTTTTGCTCAACTCCCATACCATTATTATTGCATCCATGGTACACAGAACGTGGGAAGAGTTCGGAGTCCTTTTGATTGTTAAAAGATATCTATAATGAGCTACGGAGTGGAATGAACTATAATGAATGATTATTTTTATTTTATTTTTTTTGGATACTTTTATCTTTTAGTCATTCAAGGAACAGGTCTTGAGCTGAGAGTCTGATCCACTTTGTCAATGGGAGATGTGCACCCTCTTTTTCCCGCTCTCTCTAAAACTTAAACCTCTTAATTTTTGCGTCTCTCCCCCCAATCTACACGAACCGAATCTATGTTCTCGGGTAATAAACTAGGCAATTATGTTGAATCCTAGACACACAAAATCGCCAATGTAGCACCATCTATACACTATTATTTTTGTCACCTACGACTTTTTTAATCTTGTTAGCAAATGTCTCTTTTAAAATTTTAGATTGATGACATTGTCAAACACTGGATTTGTTAAAAAGTGCAAACCCTAAGGGGTATAATTTAAAAATTATTTCAAATATGAGTGGACGCAAATTATAGTATTATTGGAATGAGTATTCAATCACCTTTTAACCAGATGCTGACAATTTTCCTTGTTTTCCTTGTCCTCCATCAATCAAAACAAAAATGAAATAAAAAGAAGTTCAACAAGAAAGTAACAACAGAGCTAGAAACATCCCAAGATAAGGTGTCACAAGAAAGACATCATATCCATCACAAGTCAATAGTCATCAACACAAAACAAGGCCTCATCAAACCAACCACCTAGTAGAAGAACCACCATCAAAGATTAGGGGTGGTCTTCTTCTTCCATCTCCTCATGGAAGCGCAGGTGCTTCCCTTTTGGTGTTGGCAAGCCCTTCAACCGCAAGATACCGGGCGAAAAACCCGATGATGCTTCACTCTCTCCACCACACTCTTCTTCTCCTTCAAGCTCATCATCACTGTTGTACAAAAACCGAGTGTGCTTTCCCGTGAATTTCGCCATTTTCTTCTCTCCTATCACACTAATATTCCTCATGCCTTCACAAAGTTCATCAACCAAAGCTCCGTCAACTTCCTCTTCTTCCTGATCACCATAATCTTCATCCTCCTCTTCTGTAACTTCTTCAATGACTTCTTCATAATCATCATCAATTTCTTCTTCTTCGTCGTCCCTGGTACTTGCATTCACCTGGATAGACCAAACAGAAGCATCATCATCATCTGCAATTGACTTCTCTTTGCTTCCACACTCTCCTCCTTCACATGTCACCGCAGAGGAACACTCTGATGAATCAAATCTCTCTGTTTTCTCAGAAAAGTCCAACAGTAAAGACCTGCCTATCAAATTCTTCTCTGATTCAAGACCCTCTTCCTTCATTCCATCAAAGAACACCCCAGCAACCATCTGAAGAATATAGGCAGCAAAAACTCAATACACACACATAGTCACATACATATATACAAATTCATGGGAGAAATCTTGAAAACTGCCAATTGGGTAGATAGAAAGTGGATCAAACCTGAGAAAGATTGAATTTTTCTTGGACAGGAGAAGGTATTGCCGCCAAGGCCAATTCCTCGTGGCAGGAGAGGTCCGGGACATGGGGAGTGTTCGCCGGAGTAGGTGCGAGAAGCCCAATTGGAGAACCGATGAGGACTTGTTGGTGGTGGAGGTGAAGGAATGATCTGTGATCAAACGAGAGTTTCGAAAACTCGGCCTCTTCTTCGACCTTTTGCAAGAGGGTCTTGACTTGACCCCTCAATAAGGCCTCCCCTGAACCAGGAGTAATGCTGTTCCTCTTCTTGGACATTCTTGATGATGGGGTCTCCGTCTCCAAGCTTCCCATTGCAAGCCCAACAATCGGTGAATCGTTCGTTATATCGAAAAGGGCAGACCTGTCTTGTTGTTTTGCGTTTCTTTGTCTTGATTTCGAAAAACCCTTTTCAGATTCTTCAGTTTTTCCTAAAAGAGATTGATCAAACTTAGTGATGACATATATATAAATAATTGTATGCGTTTATATAAACCTTAAAATTGATAAAGGAAATTAAGATTACTCACTTGATATGGGTATGTTGTTACTGTTGTTCGCAGTGGCCAAGGCTTGTGATCTGGTGATCCTTCTTGTTGATGATGGTGTTTCCATTGGAGTTGTCAGATCAGAAACTACAGAAGAACTGAGATGGGTCACCAGAAAACTTTATTTAATTGCCGGCGCAGATTAAAATTGCAGAGAGAGAGAGAGAGAGAAAAAAATTAGAAGCAGAATATTGAAAATTGCAAAGAGTTGTGAAAGTTTTATAAAGAGATTTGGAAATAGGGTTGGAAAATATGACCGTTAGACTAGCTTGCTCAAGCGGCGTGGATTATATTAACAAGATTTTGAAACTAGCCGTTGTGGTTTGTGTTGATTCTTGCGTCCCCCCGTTCTGGCTGTACAACTTTGATCATGGACTCGGAATCCAATCCAGCCCAAAGAAAAAAATCATTGGATACCAAGTTGATGTATTAATAAAAGGCCCAACAAGAATGTTGGACTAGGAGTTCGATGTTGGATAGTGCAATCTAGATTTAAGTTTTATTAGAATGTAATGTCGTATCAGGGTATTTTGAACTCCAAATAGTGTAATATTCATGTATCGGTCGTGTGGAATTAAAATTTTGAAATTAGTGAAATTTGAAAAAAAACAAATAAGAAAATTGAACCAAAATTTTTAAAAATTCCACAAATTCCAATTAGATGCAAGCCAACACACCCTCAAAGTATTTTGAACTCAAAACTCACCATCATCTCAATAATAATAATTTTAAAGAATTTGAACGAAAACAAAAATTCTCCGTCTCTTAGATATACTCAAATACAAGTGATATGAGACTCATTCAATTCTTCATTTCGTTTAAACTCTTCAATTTAAATATCATTATTAGTGTACTTGTTTAGCATACATGCAATTTCGAAAAAACTATTTTCGATCTCCAAAACAACATAACACAATAAAACATTGAAGGTTTGTTTGCTTTCCGATTGTTTGAGACCATGCTTTTAGTAAAAAAACTAGAAGGGAAACATTGAAAATTCATTTACAAGAAAAGGAAAAAAAAAAAAAAAAAATTAGAGTCCGATACTCAATATCCAAATAAATATCAATAATTATGTCATATGTCATATTGTGATTTACCGAGAGGCGATGTAATAATTTCACGAATCTCAATCACTAATCTTACTATAAATGATCAAAGATCTCCTCATGGGCCCTGTGCCACAATATTCTTTTGAATAACCATACTGGCAACAGATCAGCTATGCACGTTAGGTGTGCAGTCACACAATCACATTGCAAGCCAGTTGTTGACAAGCCATTGAACTAGGTATACAGCTCATACTCAAATACCCATGCATGGTATAAAGTGAGACCAGCCTGTAGAGCAGCCAATCCGAAGCATAGGATGTGTGTATATATATGTTTTATATATTCATTATGTATATCAATAAAAAAAAAATTAAAATTAAAAAGTAGTTCAGTGTTTTTGGATTAGATAATTGATTACAATGATTAGTATCATGGAAACTTCCCGTTAACAAAAGAATTTCTTGAACTTTATACTTTTAGCAGGTCTAGAGATTTCAACAGTCACAAAAAGGACGAAGGGCATAAAATATATAATCCATGTAGGACTTTCCCTTGTTAATTTGTTATTTTAAAAAGTTTGTTATCAATTCCCTTATTGTTTTAACATCGTGTGAAAACACCTCAAATTATTTCTTTATAAATTTCTGACATAAAGTAATACTTTAGTACTCATTTTGTTCTTTTAGATTTTCGAAGATTCCCAGAGGGATTTGTATGGCAATTATTTCATAATAGAGGAGTGTTATATACTCACTAATTATATTTGACCAACTTTTGAGAAATTTTCCTCTCTATATGTGTATTTTCTCTGAGCTTTATTTTCTCTATATATTTCTTCACTAACAGTGCATTCTCTTTTGAAACTGGTAATATGGTATATAGTATGTGAAGAAAATATTAACCAAATTTTTTTTTTTTTTTTAGTAATTTGCACTTACACCTCCTGAGGTTTGGATCAACACCACTCAGTGGTCTATCAACGGACTAGTTTTACATTGACACCTCCTAAGGTTTCGAAAGTGTTCATACACACCCCCCTCTACCTGAGAAAATGACTATTTTAACCTTTGACTTGGTCAACAAATATATAAAAGTATAAATTACTAATATAACCCTGTAAACTAAATTTTGAAGGAACAAAATACCATTCATTTTACATTATTCTGAAATACCAAACCCAGATCCCCACCCTTTTTCTGTCTGCACTTGCCGCTTCATTTCCTCAACCACATCTGCGGCCACCAAAGCACGTTGCGAAAGCAGATCGGGAGCCGTTAAAAGATTGAATGCTCAGAGATCGGAGATGACGAACTCTGGTTCGAATCGGGCAAGTCCAAAGGCGTGTTTAATATAGCGGTGGTTGTGGTGCGACGAGCCCGGAGGCGTGTTTGGTATGGCGGTGGTTGTGGTGCTATGTGTGTGTGTGGCAGTTGCAGTGTGTATGTGTGTGTGGTTGTGGCGGCAGCGTTTGTGGTGTTATGTGTGTGTCGGTGGTTGTGGTACTCTGTGTGTGTGTGACAGTGGTTGTGATACTATGTGTGTGTGGCGGTGGCAGCGTTTGAGGTGTTGTGTTGTGTGTCTGTGTGTGGGAGGTGCGGCGAGTCCGGTGGTGGTTTGGGGTGCGGTGCTCTGTGTGTGTGTGGCGGTGGCTATGTTTGGGGTGCGGTGTTATGTGGGGGGGGGGGCGACAGCGGTGTATGTGTGGGGGGCGGCGGTGGTGTGTACAGAATAATGTTGGGTTATTTTTGTCAATTTACAGGCATGAGGGTAAATATGACTTTTGAAATCTCAGGAGGTGTCAATGTAAACTAGTGTGTTAACCGTTCGCTGAGTGGCGTTGACCCGAACCTCAGGAGGTGTGAGTGCAAATTGCCTTTTTATTATTATTATTATTATTTGAATAGATGCTAATAACTGCATTCATCTTCATTTCTCTTCAAATTAATTTATATTTGAAAATGCAATAGTTAGAATTTTTGGAATTCAAATCGGTATAACTCTATAATGTTTGCAATCCAAATAAAAGTTTCGGTAATTACAGGAAATCTCATAAAAATATAAGCTAATATTCTAGTAAAAAAAAATGGGCTGAAGGAATTCTAATTCCTAATTTTATATTTTCTTGACTCCAATTCCCTCAAGCCTAAGTAGTAACATTTTTTTAGTAGTAGCGCAATTCAAATCACAGATAACAAACACATACACACCCTACTCTGCTCTCAATCTCTCATTTTTTATTCTTTTTTTTTATCATGGCACTCTCAATCTCTCATTAACTATGATCCAACTGAAGATAGAAAGAGAGTAGAGAAGTGTGAAAAGCTATATTTGGTGGTATGGAATTGGAGTTTTGGAATTGAAATTGGTAGAATTAGAGAAAAATCAAGTTAGAAAATTGAACAAAATTTTCTCTAATTCTACCAATTTTAATTCTAAGGCTTTAATTCTATGCTGGTAAACATAGTCAAAGGAAAATTACGTATATTTGCACAAGTATCATACTGCCATAGAATCACACCATAAGCCGTTAAATCCAATCACATGATTAATCATCTAATTAGTAATTATAAATCGATAGTGACAGTTCTTAGACCGAAACTTTGATCCTTTCGGGTTGAATTGTGTACGCAACCCGATCAAAATGAGGCAATGAAGTTGAGATTTGAATCAACCAATGTAATTCAATGGTCCAACCCATGTAAAATTGCGTTACCAAAGAGTATTGATGATGGACTTAGTTCCGTGTCCTTTTCTGTCCTTTCATAAAATGATATATATATTTTTAAATAGGGTTAAATGCTCTAACACTCCATCAGGTCTACCTTTATTACTCACAAATTAAACTAGTGAAGAAAAGAAAGACCTAAACCTCGTCTCAGATTTGGTTAATTAAGCGTTAAAAAATTCAGAAGTCAACTAATTAAAAACTATAATGCCAAAACTACCCTCAACTAGTGAAGATGAGGATGTATAAAGCCATAAATGACTTTGAGACCAACTAGGTCATAGATGACGTGAACCTTGACTTTTTTGGTTTCATTTTCCATTAAGTTGGATGTTTAATTGAGGCATATATTAAACATATTGTGAAATTATATTAATATTATAATATATTGTTGGATGTTTAATTGAGGCATATGATTGATAAAGCTAATTATATGCTTCATGTTAACTAATGTTTTAGTGTTTTCAATCAATTTAATTCATAAAATGAAGGAAGACAAAAGAAAAGAAAAAAAGAAGAAGAAATAAATAGAGAAAAAAGAAGACATCATATTATGAACATTATATAAAATATATTAAATAATCTTATTGTAGTCAATTTATATTATTGGTTTAATCAGTTAAATTGTGTATCATGATTCAAAATCAATTTCATTTGATTGATTTAAAGAATAAACCAGGAACGAACCCGATTGGGAACACAAGATGTTGTTTTTCAGATTTTCCATGAGATGCTCAATCACGAGTGTATTCCAAATTCTTATGCATTAAAATGATATATCTTAGTTAATTTAGGTTGATATTTGTGTCTAAATCAAAATGACTTAAATTGAAAAAAGGGTAGTTTTAGCAATATATTTTTTTTAATTAGTTGACTTTTGACTTTTCTAATGATCAACTAGGTGTGAGGGCAAAGTTAACAAAATATTTAGGTTTTTTTTTTCACTAGTTTAATCTGTAAACAATAAAGACAAACCTGAGGGGATGTCGAACATTTAACCCTTTTAAATAATTTGTAAAATGTTTTAGTAAGGGCAATTTAGATAAACTATAATTTAAATGTATTAGGAAGACTTATTATTTGCACAAATTTGATACTTTAGGAATGCTTTTTTTTTTTTTCACTTAAGGAATGCTATACACATTATAAAGTGTAAACATATCATAGGGATTGTTCCTGCACTTGACGCTAACAAAAATGTATTCCAAGACCATCAAAAATGGTAGTTTAGTATGAAAATGTGATAGTTGGAGTCCAAATAAGAACAAATGGACAGCGTACTGTTGACTTTCACACGGTGCAAAAATTCAAATATATATATATATATATACTAGTAGTACTAGCCCATATGCCTCTTTATTTATTGAACAATATTTGCCTACTCACAAGTGAGTAGGAAGTTCATGCTTACCATCGTGTGGCGTAACAACAAAATGACATGTGTCCCTACAATGTAAAAAAAA